ACGTGTTGTTCTCGCAGAGGGCCCTGTACCCATATCGGACAACAGCCTGTAAACCCAGGTCCAAAGGGAAAATACAACGCCTCGTACGCATACACAACACGCACAATCATAATTTAAAATATAAAATATAATTAACTTCTATAGAAAAAGTCAAATAAAGGACAAGCGTCAAGGCACACATTGTTAAGCCTAGTACTCGGAAGCAGAGGCCAACCTGTTCAAGGCCAGCAAGTTCAAGGCCGGCCAGGAACTCAGAGAGACCCTTTCTCAAAAAAAGAAAAAAAGAAAAAAAAAACATAATTAGTTTTGCATGGGAGCCCAAGCTTCTAATCTCAAATACTATACAGGCTATAGCAAGAGGGCTGCAAGTTCAAAACCAGACTAGGCAGCTTAGTGAGACCCATTTCAAATAAAAGGGGGGGCCTGGAAATGTTACCCAGTAATAAGAGTACAAGACCTTGAGTTCAGCCAGGCATGAACAAAACAAAACAAACAAACAAAACAAAAACAAACAAAACAAAACAAAACACCAATCCCTGGGCTTACTCCAAGCTCGACTTGAAATCTCACGGGTCTCCATCCTGGTAATCTTCACACCCAAGAAACCGTATATAAAGCCTGCCTCCTGCTCAGTTCCCTGCTGCTTCCTGCCTAAGTAGAGGCAGCCACCATCTTGTACCTTCCCCAGTAAATCTCTTGTGTGAGGTATGTTTATGGTGTGACTTTGAGGTGTTCCTTGGCTTCTGACTGCCAGGCTATCTTTCCCCTCAGAGCTGTAACCTTACAGGCATTATTTGCCACAGGGGAAAATGCTTACTGAATGTTATCTGACTTTTTCACCATCTCTTCCTCAAGATCCTGTAGAGGATTATCTATATAATCAATGTATATAGATTTTTCGAGACAGGATTTCTGTGGGTAGCCCTGGCTGTTCTGGAACTTGCTTTGTAGAGCAGGCTGGCTTCGAACCCATGAAGATCTGCCTGCCCCTGCCTCCTGAGGATTAAAGGCATGCACGACCTCTGCCCAGCTCCTGCAGACATCTCTAAGTCAATGTGTTTTGTGGGGGAAACACGTGACATTGAAAGCTGCCATAATGTTCTTTCATTGTATATTCTCCCTTCCAGGCTTGTTTCCACACAACCTTCTCTCAGTATAGCCACAAGTTCATCCTGAAAAATAACTGAAAGCGATTGAATGTGCTAAGTATTTAGTGAGGCCAGACAGGGTATTCATGTAAAATATGTTCCATTGACTAAGCCATCCAACGAGAAGCCCATTATCGAGACTTGAGGGGCAGCAGTGCATAAGCTATCAAAGTATACAGGAGTCGCTTGTTCCTCGTTTGCTAAAACCCAGAATAACAAAACTAACAGCTTTCATGGCATCATTGGCTGTCTCACAAACACAGAATTCCCAGGAGAAGATGCCAGCACGTTAAGTGTTCTCGTGGAAACCGTCTTTGAAAGCCATTTGCGATAGCTAGAATGCCTACTTTGCTTTATCTTTGGCAACTGTCCCACCATTCAGGCAAGCATTCCACTACTCAACTGTATTCCAGCCCTTAACCACTTTTTCTCTTTTGTCACTTATGCTTCTGGTGTCAAAGAATCAATCCAACATCACAAAAATTTTCCTGCTGTCTTGTTTTCTTAAAGATTTATTTATTTTTTATACAGTTTTCTACCTGCATGCCAGAAGAGGGAACCAGATCTCATTATGAATGGTCAATGAGCCACCATGTGGTTGCTGGGAATTGAATTTAGGACCTTTGGAAGAACAGTCAGTGCTCTTAACCTCTGAGTCATCTCTCCAGCTCCTCCTGCTGTCTTCTAAGAGTTCTATAGTTGTAGCCATTCTGTTTAGTCTTTGATCCATTGAGCAGTCATCAATATATTAAAAAAAGCAAAGGCTCAGGTTCATCCTTTCACATAATGTCAGCCAATCTTCATAGCCCACATGCAGAAGAGTATCTTCCGTCTCACCACTGAATGACTTTGAAACCATCCTAATTAGATTCTTCTGTCAACCTGACACAGCATGGAGTCTCAAACGAGAGGTCACTCAGGTCAAATTGGCCTCTGGCCAAGACTGTAAGGGACTATCATGATGATAGACGTGAGAGGGCCCAGCCCACCGTGGGCAGCACCATCCCCAGCCTGGTGATCGGGGATTAGTTAAGGAAGCAAGCTAAGGTTAGTTATGGGTAGTCTGTAACCTTAATACCATCACTTGGAAGGGAGAGGCAGACAGACTTCTATGAGTTCCAGCCCAGCCATGTCTACATAGCAAGTTCCAGATTATCCAGCTATATGGCAAGGCCTGCCTATCAAAAAAAAAAAAAAAAAAAAAAAAAAAAAGTAGCTGGCCATTAGTCAGTGAGCAGTGTTCCTCCATGGAGCCTGCTTCAAGTCCCTGCCCTGACTTCCTTCAGTGACAGACTGTGACCCAGAAGTACAAGTCAAATAAACCCTTTCTTCTCCAAGTTGCTTTTGATCAGTATTTTATCACCAAAATCCAAGAGCAGGACACACTGCCTATCATGGGTCCAGTCATTGTATTTGCTGCATCTGCTTTATTTATATCTCTCAATATGTATTTTTGAACCACTGTCTGCTGGGGTGACCTTTTTGTGCTCTGTGTATTATTTAAATGCTGATTTCTGTGCCAGCAGAGTTGCATAGACTAGACTTCGCTATTGTTAAGTATCATCTGCATATTTTGTAAACATACACTTCCTTCACTTTTTGATTGGTTTAATAAAAAGCTGAATGGCCAATAGACAGGACTTCCAGGCAGACAGGAACTCTGGGAAACAATCAGGCATGGGAGGGTTTACCTATGAGACAGGAGGAAGTGGACATGTGACCACTGAGGAGGGGTAACACGAGCCACATGGCAGAACACAGATTAATATAAATGGATTAACATAGGTCAAAGAAACTAGTTGGGAACAAGAGTAAGCTAAGACCTAAAGCATTTATCAATGTTTCCCTGTCATTATTTAAGGGCTGGTGGTACCAGAGAGTCCCATTTTAATTATCCTGTTATCTCCCAAGTAACTTAACATTTCTCCATGTCAGCATTTGTATCCCAGGAATAAAGGTTCTCCCACAAAACCACCTGGCCATTATTGCACCTAAGAGTCAGGGTCCCAAAGAGACAACCTGGTAATTCCACTTCATGGCATACTCCTAAAAGAATCTAAAGCAAGTACCGAAACAGGTGTTCATACACACGTCATTTTGTCCTAGATGGGCAAAAATGTGGTGTACGTGTGCAGTGAGCTATTATTTTTTTTCCCTATAAAGGAATAAGTTTCTGATACATGCTACAATACAGATAGATGTATCTTGAAATGCCTGTAACTTCAGCTCCAGGGAATCTGATGCCCTCTTCTGGCCTTCATGGATATCTCTGTATACACATGGTGTATAGCCATGATAAAAACTGTTCATGATATTATTAAAAGAAAAAAAAAGGTATACTCTCTGATCACCAAGATTCTCAGCAGGAACATATTGACATGGCGGGGGGGGGGGGGGGGGCGGGGGCCGGGCTTGTTTTGGGGGAGGCCGCGCCACGACAGGGGGCCCTTCCAGCTATAAAGGAAATTGTCAAATGTCAACGGGGTCTAATGAAAATAAAAAAAAAAAAAAAAAAAGCATATGAGAGGATGGTTGCGTGGTTGTGTGTGTGCCGCTCTTACAGGACTCCGTTTCCATTCCTAGCGCACACAGGGGTGACACATAAGTACCCATGACTAGCTGTAGAGGACCCCACACTCATGTGCGTACACACACACAGTGGGGGGATTCCTTCTGTCCCACTGACCTTGGCACTGACCGGTCCCACCACACACCGCGTGGACGGGTGCTCTGAGCACTGACCCTGTGAATGCATTTCCTCCCCAAGTAGAACGTCGGAGAACATGGAGACGTCATTTCAACCAGAAGTTCCCATTTCCAAGCTTTAACTGAGCTCTTCACCTTTTGTCTCTTTGTTTCTCTTGAAATTCTGGTAGAGTCAAATCAAATGAGCTTCACAACAGTTTAACAAAACTCTTTAATAAAATTTATAAAAATGCATCTTAGAGAACAGTTTCAATTGTTTACCTTTTCCACTCCCCACAAAATACAAAATTATCAGCACCCACACACATACACTCAAACTACATACAAGTGACACTCTACAGTGACTACATTAGACATTTATACTACAGAGAAATCAACAGTTCTCGCGGCTGAGTGCAGTCACTGTTTTCTTCCAAAATTAGCTGAGGACAGCACGTTCAATGAAATTCTTTCAGCGGTTATCAAAAAGCTGAGATTTGCATTTTAAATGAAAAGAAAAGACTCAAATCAAGGCCCTTGTCACCTTTCTCCCATTAGAATGGTGTTTTCTAGCTCCTATGAGAAAATGCACAATTTCTAATACCTCAGTTTTCTTTTCCTTTTCTTCTCCCCAAGAAACCCAAGATAGGGTTTTTCTGTGTAGCCCTGGTTGTCCTGGAACTTGCTGTATAGATCAGGCTGGCCTCGAACTCACAGAAATCTGCCTGCCTCTGCCCCCCAAGTGCTGGGATTCAAGGTGTGTGCCACCACACCTAGCCTAGTCTCAGTTTTATTTGTGTACCTAGAATTGGGCAGCTTGGGCTCAAATCAGCCAGCATTTTCTGTAGCTACCATGAAGAGCAGGCAATAGAGGGGTGTTTCCTGGGCTTCAAGGAATACAGGGACAAAGATTCCAGCCAGGAAACACTGAACACTGGTTGAGTTGTTACTCTTCCAGACATTGTCTGGGACAGAGGCCAGGCCACCTGTGCAAGCACGCCATGGGTATGATGCTCGGTGTCACACTTGCTGCTGCTCCCCAGTCAGTCTCTCATTCTCCTTAGGCTGCAGCATTCTAGGCACTAGTCTGAGACTCAGAGAACATTGTTTTGTGTGTGTGTGTGTGTGTGTGTGTGTGTGTGTGTGTGTGTGTGTGT